ATATGCAAATGATAGAGGGGAACAAATCTCCCATCAACAAGAGGCTAAATATCCTAGGAGGCTAAAAACAGCCCTGCTCTGAAAGGAGTTCCTAGCCCATGACTGAGTAGCTGGCCAGCCAGCAACAGCTCTGATCTTTCTGTGAGGAAGGGACGGAAAGCCCCGGAAGTCCTCAAAAGTCCCATGCCCCAACGAAATATCAGATAAGGAACTCATGAGTCTGTTAATCGTCCTCATCAATCAAACCCAATATCACAGCCAACAGCATTAACGAACTTGCAGTCAGGTGGACACTATGGTGGGGGAGTTCAAAAGCAAAGAGCAATCCTCATGATGGGTAATCATTCTACCAGTTTCCAAACCCAGAACTTAGGGACTCCCTTACCCGTTGCTTGTGAAACATTACCTGCCCCTGATCTTCACCTCAACTTTGCCAGTCAGGAGATAAAAATGTAACTCCTGAGCAGGCCACACACTGGGTGCTGAGAAAAGTCAGACAACTGAGTCCACTCTAGTTCTCCTTCCTAACTTAGCCTAAGTGGTTCTCCAACCCTATTCCTAAACAGCTCAGAAGAGTCCCTGAGCTAGCCTGGAGAGACATGAGGTATTGAGTTCAGTTACACAAACAGAACAACTTGAGTAAGGACTGGATGGCAGAGAGTAACAGGAGCTTAAATCACATCCAACCAATGACAGAAGGAAAGAGGACAGTGTGATCAGAAAAACACAGTTTTAAGGAGGTCTAATTTTGGGGATCTCTTTTATTATTTTTAGATGGAGTCTTGTTCTGTCACCCAGGATACAGTGTGCTGGTGTGATCATAACCTACTGCAGCTTCAAACTCCTGGGCTCAAGTGACCCTCCCACCTCAGCCTCCCATGTAGCTGGGACTACAGCTGTGCACCACCACGCCCTACTAATTTTTAATTTTTTTTAGAGATGGGGGTCTTGTTATGTTGCCCAGGCTGGTCTTGAACTTCTGGGGTCATACAATCCTCCCGCCTCAGCCTCCTGAGTCTGTTCTTTTTCTTAAATCAACTGCTTCTTTAAGTTTTATTGTCACTATCCCCACCTCAGCCTCCTTGTAAGGCTGACAATCCCTCTCTACCACCTACCCCCAAACACACACATCTCAGGGGTGATAAGGCAGAGCCGAGGTCCTTCAGAATTGACAGAGATGATTTAAAAACAGTTCAGGCCAGGCGTGGTGCCTCACACCTGTAATCCCAGCACTGTGAAAGGCCAAGGCGGGTGGATCGCCTGAGGTCAGGAGTTCAAGACCAGCCTGGCCAACATGGTGAAACCCTGTCTCTACTAAAAATACAAAAATTAGCTGGGCGTGGTGGTGGGCGC